ATATATATATATAAATACGCCATCTTTTAATTAATTTTAATATAAAAATAAGAGAAGAAGAGTATTATGAATGAATAAAACATCCCCCAGCTTATAACGCATGAATACATTTTAATGGAAAAAAAAGAAAGAAAAGATTTCATTTGTTGAATTATTATAATTCAAGTCATTTTATTGTGTTTATTCAATAATATTTGTATATTTTTATATTGAACTATTTTCAATTACATTTCCTTCATTTTAATTGTGTAGGATATTGGTAAAAGCAATTCTCTTATATTTGTATTTCTGGCACAGTTTTGCCATTTCTGGTTATTGCATTATGTTTTTAAGGGAGCTTTAAAGGTGCAGTATGTAAATTTTAGTGGCATCTAGCAGTGAGGTTGCGAATTGCACATAGAGAAGCTATGGTCGCCAACACATGACTAAGATGTCGTCTCAGACATGCAATGAGGTTTCTCAACAAAGGTCAACTAAGGAATTATATTCACTTAATTATTCAGTGAACCGAATATTATTGTTACTTGTTCATCATTGTGTAAGTATTTTATTCGCAAGAACAGCATAGTGACAAAATGCACTCTGTAGAGCAGTTTGTCCGTTTAGGGCTACTGTAGAAACATGGCGGCGAGCGACATGTTAGGGGAGAGCAATGCATATGACTAGTTTCTCCATACAGGAGGTGTCTTGAAGCTGTCATTACCAACAAAGGCTTTTGTACGAAGTATTAAATAAATTTCAGTAAGCGTGTTCAATACTTTTCCCCTAGGTCATTCCATTTTATTACATAGAACTTAATTTCTGAACTTATTTGTATTGTTTTCTTTTGTATGTATGGATTACTTGGGTTGTTACCAACATCTGGTGAAAATTTCATGTCAACAGCTCCTTTAGAAATATATTTACTGAGAAAAATGGCGATGTGTTCTATATTTATTTTACCCACTGTATATACTATAAGATGCTACACATACAATGACAAATGCATGAATGTTCCAATTCAACATTAATTATGAGACATAAATAGAGACATTCACCTCCTCGAGAGCATCTTGGATCATGGAGCTAAATGACAGAATCACACCAACAATGGTCATTCTCTTCAAAACATTCTCACTGCCTGACTGAATGTTTTTAAGGGAGCTTTAAAGGTGCAGTATGTAAATTTTAGTGGCATCTAGCAGTGAGGTTGCGAATTGCACATAGAGAAGCTATGGTCGCCAACACATGACTAAGATGTCGTCTCAGACATGCAATGAGGTTTCTCTACAAAGGTCAACTAAGGAATTATATTCACTTAATTATTCAGTGAACCGAATATTATTGTTACTTGTTCATCATTGCGTAAGTATTTTATTCGCAAGAACAGCATAGTGACAAAATGCACTCTGTAGAGCAGTTTGTCCGTTTAGGGCTACTGTAGAAACATGGCGGCGACTTCCATGTTAGGGGACCCGCGGTGCATGTAGATAGAAATTGCTCATTCTAAGGCAGGGCTGTCCAAACTCGGTCCTGGAGGGCCGGTGTCCTGCAGAGTTTAGCTCCAACTGGCCTCAACACACCTGACTGGAAGTTTCTATGCCTAGTAAGAGCTTGATTAGCTGGTTCAGTTGTGTTTAATTAGGGTTGGAGTTAAACTCTGCAGGTCAGAACTTACAAGCAGGTGTGATTTGGAGCTGGTTGGAGCTAAACTCTGCAGAGCTGTGGCCCTCCAGGAATTGAGTTTGAGACCACTGTTCTAAGGAAATAAAAACATAACGGTTCATTATGTAAGGTAAACATAGTTGTGTATATTATATTGCATTTCTGTCAATCCTCCTCCTAAATATTACACACTGCACCTTTAATACAGAGGAAATGTGTGTGAGAGAGAAGAGCAGCACATGCTAATGCTGATTGGTCGGGAGTGGTTTAAGCAATTAGCAAAACTAAAGTTTTTTTTGTTTTTTTTTACCTCAAGTGCTCTGCCTGTTGAAGCTTCAGATAGTGACAACTGGACTTGGACAGATAGTTCCCCTCCTGATTCAGTTTCGTGTGCTCAAGAAACTGAAGCTGCTCTTGCCAAACAGTCTAAATCAGGCCGCTTTCCATTGTTCTTTTCTGTCCTTACCACTACTGATAAATAATACATAATGCTTCTTATAGTTAGGCTGATATTTTCTTTTCACTCGCACTAGCAAAGTGCTTCTAAAGTAAGCATGTGTGGTGGCTGGTCCATAATCAACTTGCATACAGAGGCGTGCTAAGCAGCGCCCATAATAAATACTAATTTAATCAGGGAAATATAATATTTTCATTTTATGAAAGAATACAGAATCACAGAATGCTACATTAAATGGTGTTCTAAAGTGAAGCTTATTCATCTAATCCTGTCCATCACCCAAGAGTCTGAACAGCTGTTTTAGCATTTACGGTTTTACCAGATGCTTAATAATCACAAATTTTAACTGGATCTTGTGAAATAGTGACTTGTCCAACTATTAAGCTCACTAAAAACCTGCCTCTTTCTTACAAATGACTGCAAGCTCACATCCAGATCTGCCTCCATTCATTCACCCACCAATGGACAGAACCAAGTCCTGCCCTACATTTTATTTAATTTTTCATTAATCCATTTCACTCTGAATGTACGTCATAATACAGAAAAAATGTAAATGTCGCTACTTTCTTTACATCACAACGTTAAATAGCCAAGAGAGGATATTTAAAGCTTGAGTCAAGTCTCATGTTTAAGCCATCAATGGAAGATATTATAGCAGCAATGGTGAGATTAATGGAGCATCAGTGAGGTTGTTGGCTGATGTTGGCTCACTGTTTCAATTCATCCCAAATTCATTCATCACCAGTTATACAAGTTAGTCATCTGATTTTTTTTTCCTCCAAAAAATACAACTCATTACCCCTTGGAACTGCTAGTTGGTCAGAGTAGTTCTTAAGGCACAGTCTTAACATAGAGGCTAAGTTTATTCAATTGGCCCCAGACGGTATTTGTGCAAGCCAGTCAAATTCTTCAACACCAGACTTAGAAAACCATATCTGTATAGAGCTTGCTTTGTCCACAGGAGTATCCAAATACTGGAAAATAAAAGGACCCCCCAAAAGCTTCTGACATACAGTGGGAATTCTCTAGAATGTTATTGTTTCTTAGTTCAGTAGACCTTTATCACCCAAGCAAGAGGCAACACACTTATTTGTTGGCAACACTTTATTTTAAGTTGTCCTTGTTACACGTTACATGCATTTACTATTATAATAACAATAAAATATGCATAATTACATTCAAGTAACCCTAAGCCAAACCCTAATCCTAACCCTAACCATATAGTAAGTACATGCAGCCAATTAATATTACTCAGTACTTAAATGTATAATTTACACTGTAACAAGGACACCGTAAAATAAAGTGTAACTTATTTGTTTTGTGATTTATTTATTAAGTAGCTGTTGTGATTATTTTTGAAAGGAAGAATGTTAATTAAAAACTGCAGACAACTATGTACAACCCCAATTCCAGAGAAGTTGGGACATTTTGTAAAATGCAATAAAAACAAGAATCTGTGATTTGTTCATTCTCTTTAACTTTTATTTAATTGACAAAAGTACAAAGAAAAGATTTCCAAAGTTTTCACTGACCAACGTAAATGTATTTTGTAAATATGAACAAATTTTGATTTTGATGGCTGCAACACACTCCAAAAAAAAATGTTTGGCGTTTAACACTGTGTCACATCAACTTTCCTTTTAATTACAATGTTTCATTGTTTGGGAATTTTGGGAATTGATTGTTAAAGTTTTGTCCAGTCTCTCTTGAAACAAGGCTTCAGATGCTCAGCAGTCTGTGATTGTTGTTGTCTGATATATATGCCTCCATGTCAATAGTACCTTCGCACATATGCCAGTCACCCATGCTGTTTGCACCAATGCAACCCCATACCATGACAGACGTTTGCTTTTGCTTCTGTCGCTAATGAAAGTCTGGATGGTCCCTTTGGTCTTTGGGACTGAGAACTTGAAATCCATTTTTCCCATTTTTCCCTTGAAATGTGGACTCATCTGAGTACAGCACACCTTTCCTTTTTTTGACTATCTGAGATAACTGAGATAAGAGAGAACCTGGCAGCATTGCTGCATAGAATTGATGTATAGCTTTCTCCTAGAGTATCAGATATTCACGTAGCATTTCTTGATGCAGCAGCAGACTGTGGTAAATGACAGTGGTTTTCTGAAGTACACCTGAGCCCATGTGGCTATATTTAACACAGCAGCATGATGGTTTCTTATGCAATGCCATCTGAGGGCTCAAAGGTCAAGCACATTCAACTGAGGTTTCCTGCCTTGCCCTACATGTACTATGATTTTTGATTTGTTTGACACTTCTTTCATGAAATTTGGCAAGTATGTGTGTTAAATAAATAAATGTATAATAGTGTTGTGTGTTCCACGTTTATTGTC